ATCCGTGTGGCACACACCGGAGTATTTTATGTTCACGAGGACTTCATCGTGGCCTGGTTTTGGGACGGGGATTTTTCGGTATTCTAACGGTCCGCCGACTTTATCGGCGACTTGGGCCCATTGGGTTGTAGGGATAGTCGGCTTTGACATGGTTTCCTAGGTCGGGTTTGTTTTCGGTTCTTTTCGCGGTTAAGGCTTTTGTAAGGATAGGTAGGTATGGGCTCTATCTGATCGAGTGAGCGAATGAACCGGAGAAATTGGAAGTAAATGTGTACACACCTTTATATAAGTAGGCAATATCAACTAAAGGGGGATGTTAGGAAAGGTCTATGTGGAGCTTGTCAAAACGAATTGGTCTTGCAAGTTCACTAATGGAAGCTGAGCGTCAGGGAATCTCCAGACCTTATATGTCTGTCTCCGGTTAAGATATATAGTATGTCATCGACAAACTTGGGACGGCTTTCCATATTCGCCTCCCTATTCATGCGTACTTTGGATCAACAGTGTTATTTTTTACTCTTGTACATCACGCGCTCAAATTGTGGCAAATGTTCCTGGCTTCACTTCCTTCGTTATGGCTATAACCCCTCTCCTATTTTATTCTTAATATTGTTAAACCGTATCTTATACATACTCCATTGATGAATTGATGGATATGGATATGGTTATCCCGGATCCACAAAGATAAATATGTCTAGTGTGGGGTGGAGTTACATCAGACGGACCCACGGAGGAGGACTAGATCTGGTTTCTGGAGCATGTTTCATGACTTGCTCAAATTTTGCCTGGTCGCATCAAACTGATGTGATGACGGAAAGCCTGAAAGTCTACCTACCACCCGTGGACGCCACGGGCATTTGATTGCGGGGGTTTGAGGGAGTCAATAAGGCGCTTATGCATTAGTTAACTAGTTACCTATTTAGGTAACTAATTTTCTGCATTTGCGAGAGTATAACTAACCCCTCTTGTTGTTAATCGTTGGTGCGCGGATTTTTTGGATCTCTGCTTGAAAACACATGTCCTTATATTTATTAATTGATTATATATACATTTATATCGCTCTCTCAAATCTTGAGGAACTTCTTTTGGGTCCTTTCTGGGCCGTAGCAAGATAGATTTCACAAAAAATCTCAGGTTTCTCAACCAAGCAAGATTCATGCACTACTCAGGTTGCAATCCCTACAAAATAATAGAATAAGAACTATCCCGTCCATCAAGCAGCGGTGATTCCATCCTCAGTCACTCCCTTGGTGTGCGGCGTAGCCTGACAGAATTAAATAAGCGTAAAGGCGTGAACTCGATGGTCGGATCATCGCATCCTCTGCAGCCCCAAAGTCTAAAATAGCGATAACTATATTAGGGTGAGACCGTAATGGAAATGTACTATGTAGCATGCCAGTAGATCCATCGAAACACAACAACGCGCGTGCGCAGAACTGTGCTTTTGGGATGGGAAGTGGGGAGTCATGCAGTTGATATTATATCAGATCAATCGAGTAACTTTCTAGACATGGTGTGTATCCTATATTCTCAAATAACGGCGCCGCCAGTCGACGGAGGGTGGATTTGTTACAGCGGATAACTATCGATATACATCCCCCCCGCTGGCAAAATTGCCCATGAGAAACAGTTATCGTGGCGCGATCCTATTTCCCACATCACAGTTAATAAAAGGAGCAATATAAGATGTGGGTTGCTTTGACCTTTTGGAGTCTCGTCCGTGAACGCCTGATTTCCCCACATGCATTCAGAGCCCGCACAACATCAAAGCTAGTAATAGGACCAATGTTTTCATTCTCTCCTTGCGATTCATAGCTTCGTTAATCTCACGGGGAATTGTGCTGAAAAGATGCTGGGGGGAGGAGAGGGGGGAGGCCTTTCTCCTCAAGCCATACGCATTAGATCCGTCGCGTGTCGAACGGGACATTCTCCCAGGCGATGCACATCATCTCCGGAAAATGGGAAACGAGAGTGTAGGAAAGTGGTTTGTGTTTGGCTCACTGGTCTTGTGTAGCGTCTAGTGGCGTCTAGAGGTAGTTGATCCTTCGATATCTTCCATCTTCCCACCCAAGGGATCAGCTTCCCATTACAGGGAACGGATTACTGGAATACATAGATATATGCTGGAAGGCGGTTACTATGCACACGAATAATAAATATATATAACGCCGTCTCTAGGGATCGCATAGGGGACATCGTTCATTATTCACTTACAGCGTATACGAAGATGTTATTGGCTATTGATCGGCATACCTAGAGAACCATACTCCAAACACGGAGCCCCATCAGCAATTTATCACATACTAGCAGACCCTAATATGTTTGTTCACCCTCCACAAGACGTTTCCTGTAGCTAGCTCAGTCGATTGCGTTTGATTGAATACCCTGCTGATCTTATTTCAGGAATCAAATTGCCGTATTGATCGTAGTTCCGAATGAACTTGAGACGAAATAAAACGAAAAAGCCAAATACCTCATACCCTAGGGAACACCTAGGGAACAGTTTACTCCTCCCTCCGTCTGATGGATATCCTCGCCATATGGTCTGAGTTTAATGACAGGCCATTAGGTAGGATCCTTGGCTCATAGCCCTCTGCCAATTTAATATCATACTTCAAGAGAATATGACACAGAGCAATCTTGACCTCATTGGCCGCGAAGAACCGACCAGGACAGGCGTGCTTCCCAAACCCGAATCCCAGGTGTTCTGGAGAGGGTGACACTAGCTGGGCGGACGTCTCATGGCCAGGCGTTTCACGGAGTTTCAGGAATCGGTATGGGTCATATGTGGTTGGGTTTGGGTAAATGTTTGGATCCCACATTTTGTCACATGCGACCACGATAAGTTCCCCCTTTGGCAGGAATGTTTTATCAGACAGGACCGTATCTTCTTCGGCAAGGCGTCTCATTGTGGCTGGGAAGGAAAGGGGTGGTTAGATATTTCGTAATATGGAAAAGGGGTGGGGAAAGTAAAGAATTCCAAATGTTCTCACCAACTGCAATCGGCTTCAGTCGCTGAGTCTCCTTCAATACGCTGTCCATCAGCTTCAGTTTGAAAAGTGTGGACTTCTTCCACCCCTCTGTCTCCATCACGGTTACAATTTCATCACGGACTTCTTGAATAAGTTCATCGCGCCCACAGAGATCAAGGAGCGTTTGCGTGATGAGGTCTGATGTAGTATGGATTGAAGCGTGGGAGAATGACAACTGTGCTATAACGGGATCATAATAACGACCCTTAGCAGATTCCTCCAGCCACTCCATCGCATCGACATAACGCTCTGGCATTTTACCGGCCCGAATGGCCTCCTCCTTGGCCATGCGTCTCTCGTCCAGCACTGGCTGTATAATAGTCCTTGCTTCCTCAATTTCCTGTCGGAGTTTACGGCACGAGGGTATGAAGTTGGAAACCAGCGAACGTACTGTCGCGGGCCATAGGCGGAGAGCCAGCGCAGCTATATACGAATCAATAGTGTAGGCAATTGTGATTCGGATCCAGTCGGGGTTGCGGCATATTCTTTTGCCAAGGAAGACCCTGGACGACATCTGGGCAACCAATTTGAGGACATTTTGCTTGAGCGCGATATCATGCCAGTCTGGGTCCCGTGGATTAGTTGGGAATGTCATGTCGGAATAGAAGGCGTGGTACTACCAACCACGATTATTTGTCCAATCTCTCTCAAGGACGATACCAATCTCCTCGGATATAGGTTCAATGACATTTCCTAGCCAAATTAGGAACTCTCCCATCAAGTCAAAAAGGGGGAGAAGGGAAACAAAAAAAGTCCAAAGTACTCACCAAGATGATGCGTTAGCTTCATCCTGACGGCATCTTGAAAAATCTCATCAACTCTTGTTCCTTGCTTGAAAGTGTCAAATCCTGGGATGTCGGCGTGAAACTCCTTCGCGATAGCTGCCCCAAAATTCAGCGAAGGATGGCTGCGAATCTCATCAGCATAGTTGGCTGAGAGCACGGTTTTAGGGCCATTCTCTGTCATAAGACGAAAAGCACTGGCCTAGATCAATTTGTTCAAAATTTGAGTAAATATTCAATCCTGTATCTCTGCGTAACCATCATTTCGCCCCCTGGACGAGCAGCCTACCTTACTAAGGCCCTCCTCGATCAAGGAGCGAGCATCCTTCAAAAATCGCCTCCCAGCATGGATTTGCCTGAGTTCGAAGGGTTTCTTTCCATTGATTAACGGTAGGCGAGACGCCTTGAGCGAAGGTAATAGGAAAATTAAGGTCGGTAGCAGAATAAAGAGACCAGCTAAGCCCAGAGGGTTCAGTATAGACGAGTATAACTCGGTATCAAGCAGCATTTTGGTTTCGGAAAGCCCTTGTTGTTCTCATATGCTGCGAATAAGTTCGCAAAAAATCCAGCGTATAGAAGGTAACTAACTACCTGAGCCGTCAAGATGAAGCCAGGCTATTGGTAAAAGTGACAGTAAAAGTGACAGTCAAAGTGGAAGACATCTGGCCCAAGGCTGTTGTTAAACAGGCCAACTCGCTCCAGGGTAAACGGGTAAGACTGCGCGCACCCTTGCTACTAATTGGCTGGGATGCTGCACCCGCTCAGCCCTCTGTAAAGGCTTCCACCAGCCAACTGCTATGTCCGTCGATCGTGAAAAATCTCGTGAACAAAAAGAGCCGTGAAGCGGCGGAGAAAGTGGTTTTCCTTGTCTCCACCGTTTTCTCCACGGCCTCGTCCTCCCAGGCTCGCTCTCACAGCCAAGCGCCAAACATCGATCTTCACAGCTCTGCCTTGCTGTTGCGGATGGTTGCGGGGCAGCCCAAATAGGTACCCTAGCTTGGTGCGTTGGGGAGTTGGGCATCGGCTCCCGTCAAACCTGATGCTTGTCTGGGGCTAAGCGAAGACACCAATATCTCATGATGGCCAATCGGAAGGGCGCTTACGGGCGTGCTAAAGCTCCTCCACTCGGCACTTCAAGGCTTGGGGAAAGAGTTATTTGCTTTGAATGCAGACTCAAGTTTCGGCACTTCGATTAAGCATAAACTTAGATGTGTCGCCCCATTCCATTGCACCCGTTTCTACTCTCTTGACGTTGGCGGGGATGATCAGCAACGATGGAGTTCGGGATTATTCACAGCATTGATTGACATATTGGAATAGTTACTTCAAAAGCACGGTCCTTGAAGCAAGCAAGGAGCTATACATCCATCCATCCACCTTCGCTGTTCGGTGAATAGTGGATCAGACCTTGCTATATCTCCCAATAAGTTCTTGAAACCAGCTACGTCACCGCCGGCGCCTAAAGGCATCAAAATACTTGCACGACCGGAGATTGCCATCCTCATCGGATATCTCCCTTGCACAGCCACTGGGTTAAGCTCAAAAGTGGCGCTCGGTGAAGGGTCCAGCTAGCATGGATGATGAGAGATGTCCATATACCACCGAAAGAGACGCCTACCCTTATTTTCTTGGGAACTCCATATGTCTAGGACCTCCCACGGAACGCATATCTTTACAGAAATGACGCGCCTTGGAACGACGATGACCTAACACCGAACAGGAGACGAGATGCTGGAAATCACAGAAGCTGAAAGCCGAAAAGCAAGCGGTCAAAAAGCACCGTCGGTTTTGCGAAAAATGTCGGCATATCTATGAGCTTCTGCCTCTCTACGTGTATTGGCCTAGCTAGGACTGCCGTTTACAATTCACAGCCGCACCTCTTCTCTCGGAACCGAGAACTCCCAGACCTGAAATCGAGACGAAAAGTCTGCACAGTGGAGTCTTGGTGATGCTGGCCAAACAAGCCCGAACCGAACTGGTAAAGCCAATCACCCCATCATTGGGGCTTGCCAGACAAAATCACTTCCTAGATAAAAAGTAAACCTTTACCCGCCGAATCGCGAAGTGGCTTAATAGAATGGGCTGCGCAGAATGGCTCCTTGAGGACTCGCAAAAACATTCCCGCTTTGAAACGCGACAGAGATCCAGCCCAAATATACGGAGCTGGTGACGATCTCGATCCCACTCCGTCCAGCTTTCAGCACCTATGTCCTCTGCATGCAACTGGCTGAACGCTCTTACGATGGGATATGGGCGCAGGGGTTGGCAGGATGAGTCTGAATTCTTTCATTCTGCGTCATGCTGCCATTTCCTTTTTTGGGTCGATGCTATACTCACTCGCCAACCCGAACATGTTATCGAGGCGCATTCACATCTGTTAAATATACTACGGAAGCGAAACCTTTCCGTGGCGCCGATGGACTTGGTCATTATCGCTTAATATTGCTTCTACATGCGTAGAACTGAGGGACCTGCAGAGCGCAATGGGATTGCGCCCCGTTCGCTGGTGTAATTCCTCATTGATAGCTGAATGGTGGAGACATATCCGCCCTTTCACGAAATATGGATATTTTGTTGAACAGCTTTATCCCAACGAATCACTCCCGGTTGCGTCCTCTGTCAAGTTTTTATCAAGGGGCCAGAATTCACACTCAGCCACTTGGTCCCCCTTCCCCCCCCAACATCCATCCACACATCGGGGTAGCACATGGGCTAAAATTGAATCGCAAGTTACAACATCGCTGTTGTTGGTTCAATGCGAGACAATTGTTCCTTGCCGTGAAATAATATGATCAACACATCGCCATGAGACCAGCCGTGTGAATGTGAGTATAGAGGACCTCTGGCGGGTGACGTGAAGCTTATCCAGCTTAAGAATTAGAGTGTGACTCACGATACCAGGCGCTGCGCACCCCAGGGAAGCGAGGGAGAGCTGGCTGGGGCCTGCTACTACTTTGAGCTGTTTCTCTAAATAGCCCGAGAACACATGGGGGGGCAGAGAAACAGGCTCAAGGAGGCTTGGACGTGCTTTCTGCAAAGATGGAGACTGTGGATTGAGAAGTGGGGGGGGGGAGGGGTGGTGGTGGTAAAAAATCTCCCCGGAAGGCCATGGCATGGACCCAATCCAATTGCCCTACGAATAGGGCAAAGCAACATATCTACCTGGCAATGTGTCAATGATCAATATACCAGATTGGTTATTCTGGTACCATGCTCCCTCTTATCGTCATCACCCAAGGCAGCTTCTCATAAGTAACCCCAGAAACAATCAAACTATGAAAACAGGGGAATATTTTATGAATAAAATTGAACGCAAACCAAATCCACGCCTGCCCTAGACGCCCGTGGTTTTTTGACCCGCAAGGTGAAGTTCATAGCAAGTTTGATTGGGCAGTTTGGTGATGTGGCGAGTAGATTGACGGGGGAACTAAGAAGAACTGATCATATTTGAAGACACAGAAGATTGAGCAGTAATTCTGAAAACTGACAATATAACAAGATACTTTAGTATTCAGCCTCTTACTAGTAATATTATATGTAACACTGTGAAGCTTGAGCTCTTCTGAATTGCACTCGGCACAACACTATTCTCTTTTTAAAGGGCGCACGCACATCATGCTGTATGTTAATTTCCATAAGTCTCCTACCGGCTTTCATGGCATCTAGATTCTTGAGAATATGTAAGATTCTGCTTTCATAATGAAGTGACATAAACTAGATATTCAGCAGCTCTGATTTGATACTTGTCAGAGAAGTGGCAACATCATCACAGAGACCGTGTGATCGCACGAGATAATATGCTTGATCTTCAGATCAACTAGAGCACATTCAATAACAGATGATGAGCTGATGTCATGATACTGAATCATGTTAGCAATATTGCAAGACACCTCCTGGTTGAAGACTCAAAATAGCAGTTTCCAGACAACGCTAATCAAATAGTCAATTCACAGGATCTCTGAGTGCTGCCCTGATGTAAGTTTTGAGAAAAAGTGACGGATATTTCTCAGCCGTCTTTGACACTCCACTGGCGGTTCTTCGCCAATGCAAAAGTTGGTAGGTATCTGAATAAAGATGAGAGAAATTGTCAGTTCATCAGCCCGCTCTCAGAGAGAGATAAATAACCAGAATAATATTTAAGATATGTAAGGTGCTAGAAAATGAAGAAGTGGAATGAAGAGAAAATACCATGTCCCTATCTCCACAAGGAACTGTAACGTACCTGGCCCTGGGCTTGAAGTCATACTTGGCAGTATTCAGGAAAGCTGTATGGGTATGGCTTCAAAATATAACACTTCATTTCTCAGTTATGCCGGATGGAGCTCGTTATTTGGATGGATAAGAAGAAAAATATAGGGACCGTGGGCAGCAAAATAAATCCCAAAAAAAAAAAAAAAAAAAAAAAAAAAAAAAAAAAAAAAAAACCTCCTCGTCGATAACATTTTCTAAGGTAAAATTCATGCGAGAACGCAAACTTGGGAAGTAGCGATATATGTTTGACCATATTGCAGAAGTTCTGAGACGCTCTGCTTCACTAGAAAAGCTACCCAGGAAGAACGGGATAATGTGGGCGCTTTGAATTGGAGAAAACAACGAATCAGGGGATGGGATGGATGGGCATCCACGTCGTGAGCTTTCGATATCACACACACATTTGGCCATCCCTTGAAAGACACTGGTTCCGTAGACGTTTCTGTTCGATCCGCGAGATAGACTTGAAACCCATAGAGTTGAGTTCTTCCATCGAGCCCTCCACGCCAAAACAAGGGGAAGGAGTAATAGCAGGGAGAGTTTTAGCACCGTTAACTTACCTTTATGGGGCGTAAAAGATCAGTGTCGAGGCTCGAAACAAGTTGGTGTAGACTGGCATCTGTCACACAATGCATCACATCCTCGGAGGAGAGCTGATATTTCCCGTCCTCAGGGAGAAATTTGAAGAACCTCTCGAGTCATTTGGATTGAGCGGCGTATATCTCTCTAATCTACGGAGTAGTCTTGGACAAAAGTCGATAGGTCCGAAGGTGTCTCGCTGAAGGCAAAGCCTCCGAGCAAAAAAGCAGGAGTAAGTACTGAAGTTGGTTCAGAGGAATGTCATAGATGAGAAACTCAAAAAACCCAAACAGAAGTAGAAATACCATTCCTCTGAAGTGTTGTTGTTAAAGAATGAAGGATGAAAGTGAAGCTGTGAACAAAGTTATTATGGCTAACTTAGAGCAAGCATGATGTTGTTAAATTCAGACTAGAGTCATCATCACAACAAAACTTGTTAGATCCTACTGACTGTGAGAGAGTGTTTAACTTATAACTATTTATGAGCTCACCATATAAAGATACCTATTAAAAAAATATATATATATCTTCAACACAGGACATTACGCAGTAATGATGAAATTTTAAGTTTAGTTGTGTAGTAGAAACAAATTATTATTTCATAACTATTTTAAGTAACTTAGTAACTAACTTAAATCTACTAGTAAAAGGGTTTAGGATTTTAAATTCTTTGATAGGCTACTCTACTACTACTATTGTTCTGCTCATAAAATTTGCATTGACAGGTACCTTTTATATGGGATAATCATACAAAAGGTACCTATTTTGGAGAAGTTGTATTGTGCCTTGTACGGGGCTGTACGGGTAAGCCGGATACCATACCTGTAACCAACCTTCGTAGCCGCGGGCGCCGGCGCCAGTTCCAGGCCCTGTATCGGCGGCTGTCCGTACGGGCCAATACCGGCGAGCCCGCAAACAGCCGGAGCCTGACACATCGCCCAGAACAGACTTTTTGGTCTCTTTTTGGTCTTTTTGGTGGTCTTTTTGGTGGTCTTTTTCCACCCGCCGCCGCCCGCCGCAAGAAAGTCGGTGGGTGCAGCATCAGGGGATTGATTTGCTTCCACCCGCCGCCCGCCGCCCGCCAGCACCAGCACCAGCACCAGCACCTACACCACCAGCAGTAACTACCAGCAACCACCAAACAAACCACAATAATGAAGGCGCTGCCCTCGCCATCCACCACCACCACCACCACCAACATCACCAACATCACCAACATCATCCTCCATCCTCTTCACTCTCGCCATCCCCATCCATCATCATCATCCCCATCCATCATCATCATCATCATCATCATCATCACCTCCTCCACCTCCAACCTCCACACCGTCTACCGTATACCACTTCCTTGCCACCAATCATCGCCTCTGTCTGTAACCTTGCTGCTGCTCCATGCGAATCCACTAACTCTCGTCCCTTGGTCTCGTCCTTTTGAACGGCCAGAACAAGAAGAACTCGCTTCTTTCGCCAGCTTCAGGTAGAAAGAATTGTCTCTTCCATCCTACTCTTCTTCCCTTCCACCATTTTCCCCATCCCCAAATTCTCTCTCTGCCTTCAATTTAACCAATACCAACCCGCGATACAAAAAAAAAAAGAAAAAAGAAAAAAAGAAAAAGAAAAGAAAAAAGGTTTTTTTTTTCCCTCCCTCTAGTTTGGCTTTGGCTAACAAGTCCTTACCAACAGCCCCCCATCTTGCACGGATTCTTGGGTCAAGCTATTCATTCCTTCTCCGTCCTACGCCTAAACTCCATGGCTATCTCATCTATTCCTTAATCCCAAATCCCCCACCCATTTTCTTCGTCAATAGAAAAATAATTACCTCACTGCCGTTCCATCCCATCTCTCAACCCGCATCTGATCCATACCTCCCGCTCGCTCTTATATAACGCGTGCTTCCGCCACAAAAAAGAAGCTTGCTCGTGATGGCAGGAGGGCCGCCCTACACAGTTCACTCTCCTACCCAGCAATCTCGCTACGCAAACTACTCTCCCTCTTCTTCGAGAGACAGGTCCTCCTATCCCAACAATGACCCCTACCAACCCCCTCCTCATACACCCCCCGCGTACCCCCCATCCTCCATGGCCCGGAGCCCGCACTTTGCCCACCCCCCTTCTCCAAGGATGAATACCACTCTCCCGCCCTTAAACGGGTCTGTGTCCCATCCCGACACCTCCCCGTCATATCACGCCCACTCTACATCCGCGACCCCTCAGTTCCCCCTACATCGTCCGTACGGGAACTCCCACATGGCCTCGTCGGCCCACTCTCCGCCTCCAAGCCTCTATAGCCAACAGGCTTCCTCCTCCTCCTCCCACCCTCACCCTCACCCGCATGGGGGCACGGAATCAATGACGCGATCGCCAAAGCGTGAACACGAGCCTATTCATGATATGAGGCCGAATAACATGGGATATTCGTCCCAGTCGCCTATGATGCGGGATACTAGGCCCGCTTCCCCGAAGGAATCCGTATGTTCCGATATCTAATCCCCGTTTTTCTTTTTATATGATATATATCTGTTATTGTTATTACGATGGGATTACTAACTTGTCCATTGAGTAGAAACCAGCTAGGACGGACCCCATGTCATTTGCAAGCATCCTTTCAGGTCCAACTGAGGAACGGCCCCCGCGGAAGAGTACTCCCCCACCCCAGGTCAGCAAGGTGAATGAACGCCCAGCAGTCGCCCCAGCCCCCAAAGTCGAAAAGCCCAAGCAGTCCGGTTCGGAAAGACGGCGACACCCGGTTCACTTGGAACCTTCCTACAACGATATTTCAACCCGCCCATCCACCAACGGCGTATCCGCAACAAAATCCGCCGCCCCCACAAATTCAAGGTCGAAGAAGTCCATAGCTGAGCGCGAGAGCGATAAGATCGCTAAAGCGATAGACCGGATCGATTCCATGGACAAGAGTGAGCTGGACGCTCCCGGATTTGAACATGAGTGGGCGCGTTACATCCGCAAAGGAAAGAAACGTGCTCGTGAAGTGGAGGCCGTCGAAGCACGGAAACGTAGGGTATGTTACGTCCCATTTCTCAAACTGGGATCTCATCTTGTATTTTTCTCCGTTTTAAACTAACAATATTTTTTTATATAGCGACGTCAAACCGAATTCCTGGAGACCCTAGCCAAAGTTTTCGAGAAACAAGTACTAAATGGGGCTGAACGGTTTAATCGCCATCATGAGGCCGCTGTTCAATCCGAAGTGCAACAGAAAGAGCTCCAGGATGAAAAGGAGCGGAAGAAGGACATGCAAAGAAAACGGCGTCGCGAGAACACTGTCCGCCTTGAGATGCAGAAGATGGACGAAGCTCGCCAGAAAGCCAACAAAGCGGAAGATGCTGCGGAGAAAGAGCGCCTAATGCGCGAGGTTGAAAAATCTCGCAAGAAAATCAAGAGTACGAAACGTGCCTTGGAGCGAGGCAACGAACCTGAGGAAATCAGTGAAGTGACCCCGATGGCTCCAAACCTCGAAGGCGGCACGACGAGCACTTTCCATGTCGCTTCGAAATCCCCCCCGCCAAAGAGGAAACCTGGAAAGTCCGGATCTTCCGCTCGGCTGAAAAAATCCAAGGAAAAGAAGCAAGCCGAAAAGGATGCTGCTGAAGCTGCCTATGCTGCCATGGAGAAAGATGACGAACTCGTTCCTCTTGCCCCCAAGGAGGATCCGAAGAAGGAAGCGTTGAAGAAAGAAGGCAAAGGTGCCCGCTCCAAGGAAACGACTCCGGCACCGCCCACGACGCCATTCGAGTCCAAAGCTTATAACGGGCTATATGAGTCAATCTGGAGAGAGATTGCTCGAAAAGATGTACCCAAAGTTTATCGTATCAAGGTTACTTCGTTGAGCACTCGCCAGGAGAATCTCCGTAAGACGGCCCAGCTGGCTAGCAAACAGGCTCGCAAATGGCAAGAACGTACCAACAAGAGTATGAAGGACACTCAAGCTCGGGCGAAGAGAACTATGCGGGAGATGATGTCATTTTGGAAACGGAATGAGCGTGAGGAGCGTGATCTGCGTCGCATGGCTGAGAGACAAGAGCTGGAACTGGCCAAGAAGGCAGAAGCTGATCGCGAGGCTAACCGCCAAAAACGAAAGCTGAACTTCTTGATTTCCCAGACCGAGCTATATTCTCATTTCATAGGCCGAAAGATCAAAACAAGTCAAGCGGAGCACACAGATGACATCGCTGGTGCCGATGCTACTGCTGCTGCTATAACCCCTAAAATTGATATCCCTCTTCCTGGAAACGATATGAATGCGGCACCAAAAGTCACCAGTTTCGAAGACCTCGATTTCGATGCAGAGGATGAAACTGTATTGCAACAAGCAGCGATGGCTAATGCTCAGAACGCCATCCAACAGGCCCAAGACCGGGCTCGGGCTTTCAACAACGAAGAAAACAAGATGGCTGCCTTCGATGAAGGGGAAATGAACTTCCAGAACCCTACAAGTCTTGGTGATGTTGAAGTTTCCCAGCCCAAGATGCTTACTGCCCAACTGAAGGAATATCAGTTAAAGGGTTTGAACTGGCTCGTCAATCTCTACGAGCAGGGCATCAACGGTATTCTTGCAGATGAGATGGGTCTAGGTAAAACTGTGCAATCCATCTCAGTCATGGCTTATCTTGCCGAAGTACATAATATCTGGGGCCCGTTCCTCGTTATCGCTCCCGCCTCGACGCTTCATAACTGGCAGCAGGAAATTTCACGATTCGTCCCCAACATCAAAGTCCTACCGTATTGGGGTTCCGCCAAGGATCGAAAAGTTCTACGAAAATTTTGGGATCGCAAACATATTACATACACAAAAGAGTCTGAGTTTCACGTTTTGGTAACATCCTACCAGTTGGTTGTGCTGGATGCGCAATATTTCCAAAAGGTGAAATGGCAGTATATGATTCTCGACGAAGCCCAGGCTATCAAATCTTCGCAGAGTTCGCGGTGGAAAAACCTTCTTGGTTTCCACTGCCGCAACCGGCTTCTGCTCACTGGTACTCCTATACAGAATAACATGCAGGAATTGTGGGCTTTGCTCCATTTCATTATGCCGACACTTTTTGATTCTCACGACGAGTTTAGCGAGTGGTTTTCCAAGGACATTGAGAGCCATGCCCAGAGTAATACGAAATTGAACGAGGATCAGTTGAAGCGATTGCACATGATTCTAAAGCCGTTTATGCTCCGTCGTATTAAGAAGCACGTCCAAAAGGAACTTGGCGATAAGGTGGAAAAGGATGTTTTCTGTGACCTTACTTACCGCCAACGCGCATATTACACTAACCTTCGGAATCGTGTCAGCATTATGGACCTTATCGAGAAGGCTGCTATTGGAGATGATTCGGATAGCACAACATTGATGAACTTGGTTATGCAATTCCGGAAGGTCTGTAACCACCCGGATCTATTTGAGCGGGCCGAGACCACTTCCCCATTCTCTGCAGCCTATTTCGCGGAAACTGCATCTTTCCTACGAGAAGGACCGTTTGTCGATGTTGCATATTCAACTCGAAACACTATTGAATATGATCTACCCCGCCTACTTTGTAGTTCACATGGACGCCTCGATGTTGCTGGACCAGGAAATGACAGGGCTGGATTCACTGGCAAATACCTCTCTCACATGATGAATATCTGGACACCGGAAAATATCAGGGAAAGCTTGAAACAAGACCAGGCATTTTCTTGGCTGCGATTTGCTGACACTTCCGTTGGCGAGGCTTGTGAACTTTCCCGCAAGGGAGTGTTTGAGCGTGCAATCAAACGTCGTGGATATTCAAACCGTCTTTCCCGCTTCATGGTCGCTTATGATGATGTGGAAGATGACGCTTCCTCAGCGGTGCCGGCTCATAGCCTGTTTAACATCGTGGAGCGGAGTGATCGTCGGGCGTTGGCGGAAATTACTCGGGAAGGTCGTATGAATGAGTTGCTGAATATTTCCAGCAATACATTTGAGAATGAAGGGTTGGATCAAATCGAGCCGTGTGGTAAGCCTGGAGCGTCAGCGCCGCCAATCACCATCTCGTGCTCTAACCAGTTCGCCAACTTCGAAATCCGAGACACCTTGTTCAACAGTTCCGTGAAGCACGCCCTATTTGGAACAACGACACGGGCCATGGATGCTGAGATTCTGGAGAAGAAGCTGGATCCAGCTCAATTCAGGCTCACACCAATGCTTCCCCAACCGTTATCAGCTAAGGGGCGGTATACCAATATCTCGGTGCCGTCAATGAGGCGGTTTGTGACAGATTCTGGTAAACTAGCTAAACTGGACGAACTCCTTCACGAACTCAAAGCTGGTGGCCACCGTGTCCTTCTCTACTTCCAAATGACCCGCATGATAGACCTGATGGAAGAATACCTAACCTACCGCAACTACAAATACTGCCGACTAGACGGCAGCACCAAGCTCGAAGACCGCCGCGACACAGTCCTGGACTTCCAACAACGGCCCGAAATATTCGTATTCCTCCTCTCCACCCGCGCGGGTGGTCTGGGCATCAACCTCACAGCCGCCGACACCGTCATCTTCTACGACTCCGACTGGAACCCGACCATCGACTCGCAGGCGATGGACCGAGCCCACCGGCTCGGCCAAACCAAGCAAGTCACTGTCTACCGCCTCATCACCCGCGGGACCATCGAAGAGCGCATCCGCAAGCGCGCGCTGCAGAAGGAAGAAGTGCAGCGTGTGGTCATCTCTGGCGGCTCCGGTGCGGGTGTTGACTTTAACACGCGGAGCCGCGAGAATCGCACGAAGGATATTGCCATGTGGCTTGCGGATGATAACCAGGCGGAGATGATTGAACAGCTGGAGAAGGAGGCAATGGATAAAGCGGAGGAGATGGGGACGACGGGGAAGAAGGGCGGTGGAAGAAAAGGTGCTGCTGCCGCTGCCGCTGGTGGGAAGAGGAAGAGGGATGTCACATTGGATGATATGTATCATGAAGGTATGTCATTGGAAAAAAAAAAAATACATCCTACACTACAAAGGCGTAAAAAGTTCCTTGTTCCCGCTGACTCATGTTATTATTTCCAGGTGAGGGACATTTCGAAGACGCCAGCGCAAAACCATCCGGTGCTGCTACGCCCGTGTCTGCGGGGGATAATAATAATAATACTACATCATTCACCGCCGGCTCTAAATCTAGACGCGGCGGTCGTGGTGGTGGAAGTGGAGGTGCCGGCCGGTCGAAGAAAGCGAAGACAACCAAGGAGAGACTGCGGTTGATTGATGGGGATGATTGATTGATTTTTTTTATTCTGTTGTGTACAACAACAAGGTACAGGAAAGGAAAGACAAAGTGGGTTGTTTTGTGTTTCTTTTTGGGTTTGTCTATTTTCTCTCTAGGTATTATTTACTTGCTCACTTGTTTGAATTTTTTTTTTCTTTTTTTTTTACACCTTTATTTTTAATAATAAAGATATACGGGAAGAAAAACGGGGAAAAAGCAACAGCTCTGTCTCACGCTGTTCTATTCTTTCATTTGTTTCTTCTATTCTATTTACATGTGTATATTACTCCATAGGCTCTTTTTTTCTTTCTTTTTTCTTATACTCTTCACATCTGTTCTCTATTTCTCATTTCTTTGTTCTTGAGTGCTTCTCCCTCTTCTCCTTAATCTTTTTCTTGTTTTTCACTTCTTGTTTAGCCTATCTTGTATACGTTTCACCCATCTTATCTTATCTTTTGTGTTTGATTATTCATTTATCTATTAACTTAACCTCTTCATTTGTCAAGTAGAGTGAGGGGTTTTCTTAAGAGGTGGTGGTGTCTGTCGGTTGGTTGGTTGGTTGGTTGGTCTGATTGGTTATGATATGATATAACTATGATGATAGTTACAGTACCGTACCTCTCTGATTTAAAAGTTTGAAAACACCTGTTTTTTACAGTTCAACCTGACACTGTTGTATTTTTTTTTTCTCTTCTTTTCTTTCCAAAGTGATATCTGATTATATAGTTATATTAGACTAGCTTTATTTTTGAAAATAAACAGCATTTTGGTTCTTCGTGTGAATGAAAAAGAATAATGATTGCTTCTTAACGCACAATAAAACTATATTTATTATATCTAAAAATACCCGCCCAATCGCACCGACCTGCTTAGTCAGATTAAAATTCTTGATTGGCGGCATCCGAGCCAATCAGCAGCGTCTTATTAATCTGTGCAGAATTCCCATCCCAAATTGTTCAGACTGTCAGACTCTCCGCATTCTTCTTATTCTTCACGATCCCCAAACCACCAACCACCACCCGCCAGGAGAACGAAGCAAGGGCGGTATCAGTCATCCGGGCGCAATCAAGCACAATTGATATCCTGCCTCGTACCTCCACCCCAAGAAATTCAAGAGCCAACTGATCAAAAACGACATATACCAAGGGACCACAAACGAAACCATGGAGGCGCTGCTGAACCAGTCACGCTCGCTCTGCCCTTTCCTGCAGCGGACTTCCCCCGCTGCCCTCCGTGCCCTCTCGACCCCAGCCAGGCAACCCAATGCCGGCCCCAGTCCCAGGGGAGGCACCATTTCCAACCTGCAGGTCATTGCCCGCCGATGCCCCATCATGAGCAAGGCGCTTGCCGTCCAGAGTGCTCGCATGGCTACTCCCAGGGCATTCAGCACCTTTGCCGGTGGTGTCTCTGGGGGCGGCGCGAAGGGCGTCAAGGGAATGCGTGCCCCTGGTGCTGGCAAGAGGAGGTTCCATACCTCTGCGAGTAAGGAGGCGGCGATTGGGCAGGGTGCTGCTGTTAGGAAGCATGAGAATGGTGAGTTTTTCTGTGTTTGCTTGAAGTTTACCCGTATCTATCCCATCTATTTTTTATTTTTACTTTATTTTTATTGTATTTTTTGTCACTTTTCTTCCCGGTTACTGATGACTCTGAAATTAGTTCATCCGCCACTTTCCGAGGTTCAAGCCGGGAAGCCTGCTATGGCAGAAACAATGACTGTTTTCCCAGGCCCCAAGCCGGAGGCCCCCTCGATCAGCAAATTTGACTATGAGGGGTTCTATAATAACGAGCTTGAAAAGAAGCATAAGGATAAGTCCTATCGCTATTTCAATAATATCAATCGGCTTGCCCAAAATTTCCCGCGTGCGCACATGTCCGATGCGCACGAACAGGTGACCGTGTGGTGCGCCAACGACTACCTCGGCATGGGACGGAATCCGAAGGTTCTTCGAACTATGCACGAAACCCTCGATAACTACGGGGCTGGTGCTGGAGGTACTCGTAATATTTCAGGCCACAATCAACATGCTGTTGGGCTGGAGGAGGCTCTTGCCAAGCTACATGGCAAAGATGCTGCGCTGGTGTTTAGTTCCTGCTTTGTTGCCAACGATGCCACTTTGGCCACGCTGGGAAGTAAACTTCCTGACTGCGTGATATTGTCAGACAGTTTGAATCATGCATCGATGATTCAGGGAATACGCCACTCCGGCGCGAAGAAGATGGTCTTCAAGCACAACGACTTACAAGATCTGGAGCAGAAACTGGCCTCTTTGCCCCTGTCTATCCCCAAGATCATCGCCTTTGAGTCGGTCTATAGTATGTGTGGATCTGTAGCTCCGATTGAAAAAATCTGTGACCTGGCGGATAAATATGGCGCTATCACTTTTCTCGATGAAGTCCATGCTGTCGGCATGTACGGACCACACGGTGCCGGCGTTGCCGAGCATCTCGATTTTGACGCTTACGCATCTCTGGATACGAGCAATCCTATGAGTACTAGAGGAACGATTATGGACCGAATTGACATTATAACCGGCACACTCGGAAAAGCCTACGGCTGCGTTGGTGGTTACATCGCCGGCTCCGCCTCCTTCGTCGACACCATCCGGTCCCTTGCCCCAGGGTTCATCTTCACAACATCTCTCCCACCCGCCACCATGGCCGGCGCTACGACCGCCATCAAATACCAGTCCTCATACGGCCGCGACCGTACCCTCCAACAACTCCACACCCGCGCGGTCAAAGCCGAATTGACAGCAAACGATATCCCCGTCATCCCGAACCCATCGCACATCGTTCCCATCCTCGTCGGAGACGCAGAGGTCGCAAGACAAGCGTCCGACATGCTCCTCAGAGACCACGGTATCTACGTCCAGGCCATCAACTACCCCACCGTCCCCAGGGGCGAGGAGCGGCTGCGCGTCACGCCGACCCCAGGCCACATCAAACCATACCGTGACGAGCTCGTCCAAGCCCTGCGGTGCGTCTGGGAACGCCTTGGCATCCGCAAGACGAGTGATTGGAAAGCGGCTGGCGGCTTCTTGGGCGTTGGAGTTGAAGACAGTGCGGAGAATCGCCCGCTCTGGAGTGACGCGCAGCTCGGGCTTAGTGCAGGCGAGGACGTGGAACAGGCGCTTGAGCGCGAGTTTAGAGCTGAGGCGTTGCATAGGGAGCAGATGATGCTGGAGATGCAGCAGGCTGATTTGAAGGCGCATGTTCATGTGAATAATACTGGATCTGCTGCTGCCACACCTGTCGGCGTTGCTGCGTAAGCAAGTAATGGAGGAAATCGAGAGCTTTCCGTTTTATTTTCTTTCCCTACTTCCCAAAAGCATGTCACCTCCCCTCTTGCTGGTAGCATCTTATCTTATCTTTCCTTTTGCAGTCCTGGCTCAAAGGCCTTTCTCCCGGCCTATCCTTCAGTCCTTACCTTAAATGCAACGTTTTCCTCACCCCCCAATGGCTGTTGGTGGTGGCTATTTTGTGACTTTGATGAATCGAAAGGTCGAGGATATATATTTCGAACTCTCGTTTTTGCACATAGAATCTATTTTGTGCGTGTACGTACATGTACCTATTGGCTATATTGACTATCTTGGCTATGCCTATTCATACGACCGCCATATTTTGGTCTTTTGGCACGGAATGGATATTCATTGACTTCATTTTTTTTGGTTATATTCTTTTACGGGTATTCAAAACTGTCACCCCTTGGGGCTATGCTGGGACTCGTTTGCCCGGTATATGCGTATGCTTGGATGGGGTTGGAGTTTTATTTTTTACCCTCCTCTTGATGCGCACATGACATTTTTAAATTTCCTTTTAGGTTATATGTAGCTGGTCGGCTACAACCATGCCAGGGTGGGCTATCTATCTATCCCATCCCTCTTAATGGAATTATCTCTTTCGATTCAAATCTGCTTTTACTGTACTTCACACTCTCATATTTGTGGCTCTCTTTTGATGGGTGGATGTAGAAATTTTAGTTATTTGTATATTCTTTTTATTGAGATCTAGAACGAGTTAAGAGATGGTAAGGAGATTATACGTATTCCCCTCCAAATGCAAGGAGAGGAAAATTTAAAAAAAAGAAAAGAAAAGAAAAGATAAAAGAAAAACAGGCATCACAGAATACGCAACCCGACTAACTATCCATTCAAACCACAAGAAGTTCTGAATGAATACAGAACAAACTCCCTCCCCTTTCTCCCCCTAAAAAAAACAAAAAAATAAAGAAAAAAACCCTTCCCACCAAAACCTCACCTCCTCCCCCCCCTACTAACCTTCGGAAACTCCACCGGAACCCTCAACCTCGCAATCCGCCTCGCCCCCGCCTCAACCTTACTCCTAACCCCCCACTTCGCAAACTCGCTCTCCCTCGGCTTCTCCACCTTGCACCCCAGCTCCCTAAAATACTGCTGGATGGTCTGGTACTCGAGGCTCAGATCATCGCGCAGATCCGCCGGGTCCGTGGCCAGTTCGTTGGGCGCAAACCCTGCTTCGGGCGGGATGTGCAAGGAGAGCGCGCAAATGGTTGTGTGGAGGAAGGTGATGTCTGTTTTGGAGAGGAAGGTGCGTTGGGGGACGAATTTGCGGCGGAGCGCGTCGAGGAAGGAGTCTGGGAGGTGGGTTTGTTTGTTTGTCACGGCGGCGGAGGAGGAGGAGGAAGAGGAGGAGGAAGAAAGTATGCGCCGCAGATCCTCGCGGGGCGGCAGTTTCTTGCTCCCCGCCGCTACCGCTGCCGACCCGGCCCCGCGACTCGGCTTCAGCGACCGCGACAGCTCGATCAGGATCATGATGTAGCGCAGCAATTGCAGCTGCGTCACATCGCCCGACCGCACGACGTGGTTGACCCGATGCGCCACGAAGCGCGAGGAGGAAAGCACCGGCTCCCCCGCGCCAATGGCGGCCTGCCACTCGTGGACGGGCATGGTGCGCAGGGTTGAGAGGCCGTTGGGCACCAAGGTGTCGATCGCGTAGACCTGCGACGGGTGCGTGGCGGAGAGGTTTGGTTGCGGGAGGGGTTTTGCGGCTTGGATTTCGGACTGGGCGGACTTTTGTGGGGAGCCGGAGACGGAGGTGGAGGTGTGTTCCTTGGGGATTGAGGAGAGGAGGGCGGATTCTGCGGGGGTGGGGCCGGAGCCGGCGGGGGCGTTGGAGAGGAGGGCGTTCTCTGCGATGGATTGGATGGCTTTGCGGGACTGTTTGGTGCCGAAGGCTTCGGTGAGGGCGGTGCGTTGGGCCCAGTTTGATTTCTGCGGTTTTAGGGGAGTTAGTTAGTGGATAGGTTTTTCTTTTTCTTTCTCTTTTCTTTTTTTCCTTCCCTTGCGGGAACGAAGCCATCGTAACAATACATATATGCATATATGTATAAGGGGAGATATATACCGTAACAACATCCCCATCACTCTCCCCATCATTAATAGCCTTCCTAGCCACGCGCCTCACACACCCGCGCACCGTCATCTTTCTAGCCTCCACGAGCTCCAGCTTGCCCGCGTCCGGGTCATAGACTGCCACATAGTGGTTCCAGAGAGTATCCAGCTCATTCTCGCCCTCTTTGCCAAGGAAGTCTATCCTTGGGTGTGCGGATGACTGCAAGAGGATTTCGGAAGTTGACAGGGTTGTGTTTGTAGTTGTCTTGTGCTTTTGTCGGTTTTGGCGCGGCCTTGAATATGCGGTTAGGGGGATGGAGCTGGGGATGCTGCTGATACCCGGTGTAGAGGCTATATATCATTTTTGTTTGTTAGCCATTTGTTTTTCCTTTCTCACTTTGCTGCTACTTTATGTCTTTGCGAAGGGGAATGCATATGCGTAGGAACAGAGCACGGTATGAATCCTTTCAAGCGTCCTTCTAAGCAACGGGACTTGTCCTACTCCCCCAAGAAGCTGCGAGAGCTTGTAAACAAGAAATAAAACAAAAAATAAAGAAGATGAATACCTATAACAGGCACCGCCCCATTCGTATTCTGCACAAACTGAACCTTGACCGCGGGGACAACAGGCGCCGCAAGAGCAGGTTTCTTGCTGGGTCGGTCGGGCTTTTCAGAAGCTCGTTTTCGCTTCTTCTCCGCTTTGTGGTGGATGCCCATGGTCGGTTTTGCTATGTGTGTGGGCTTTACAATTTCTTCAAATGCTCGAAGGTAGGATTAAAAACGTCTTTAATAAAGAAATTGGCTCTTTTTGGAGGCGGCTTGGTGGCGGTTAGTTTGCGGCGTTCTGGTGCTGCTGTCCGGGTGTTGGGGCGGCGGAGAGAGAAAAATTATATAAAAAATATAAAATCTCCACCGCTAAAATATTTCCCGGCGAAGATTTTGCACTAAACGCTGATCAACACCACGGCAATCAACCAACAAATAAATCCATTGATGGAATGGACTATTTACCCGTAATCCTACGATTGGAAAAAATAATATTACTTGAATTTTTCGACCAATGGATTTATAGTCACAGGATGAGAGCTAAGGCCACACTTATGAAGGGCCACACCCCGCGCACTCGTCCCAGAGTTAGAAAATGAGGCACGAACAAGCAAGGCAAAGAAACTGCCATTAAGAAATTCAGAAACAAAGATGATCAATAGACGAGAAGAAAAAAAAATTAGCCTTGTATTATTTTAAGTAAACCCCAACAGCTCCGTAATTCCTACAATGTTGATGTTTCCCCTTTCTTCCTTCACCTTGATCTGCACTCCCCCTGTTTAAGACGAGAACAAATCGCAAGCGAAGAGAAGAAAAGTGGAAATTAAAACATATCAGGAAAGGGGGGGGGAATTGACCAGCTCCCTCCCATCCACACAAAAATCAGACCCTTCGATTTGAAGGAATCAAAGGCGACAAAAGACATATGTGAGTTTTCCATTTAGCGCCTCTTCCTCCTTCCCCAACCCCCATTTCCCGCAACCGAACGTTTTAAATGAAAAAAAGCCAATCAAAAAACAAGAAATTCATGTCGTCAAATTTCTTTCCTTGTCGTAACTCTTCGTTAAGAAGTAAGATAAATAAAAAAAGGCGGAGCTCAGAACGGGTTGGGATGCTGAAAAATGGAAAAGGCATCTGAGCTACTGCTTTTATGACTAGGCGAAAGGAAAAGAGATAGGGCAATCGTGGTGTGTTCGTTTAAGATGATCGTATTCGTTCGAGTTTCATGTTCTTTTTGCTTTTGTTTGGGGGGAGGGAATTCAATCGGTGTGCGGTTTCATTTCAGCTCGGAGGGGAGCATGACTTAATGCATGGACGGAGAAAAAGCTGAGACGGAGTGGTCGAGTTGTTTACTTGCTGTAATGGGAGTTAGCTATACCGGAGATCAAATCCATTTGGGAAATAATATTTGATTATTTTGAAGAATAAAATGTGCGTGAACGAACCTTCTAGCCCGGACCTTTCTGCGCTTACGCTTCAGCCGTCGAACGCGCTTCTTTCTCCACTTAGCTCTCATCTTCGCAGAGTTTTGACTGTTGTCGTTGTGGGTGTGGTTAGCAATTGCATTCAATTGATATCAACATCAAATAGGTCATGCATGTTCTTGTGTTCCACGTCAATTGGCCGCAGTGTGCAGTGGCAATGCGGGGGTCAAGTAATATATCCATTTCCGTATAGGAGAGATGAATATACAACAGAGCAAGGAAGGGAATTGATAACTTACACTTCTTTGACGATGAGGGGGATGGTTGCTAAGAGGAAGAAGGAGAGAGAGCGTTGGAGTTGCTTTGTAGTGTGCGTGGCTGACTCAGCTGATTTTGCGCTAAGGGTTTAGTGGCTGTCCAAGCGAGAACCTGTGGTGATTATGTAATCAGTGGGAAAAGCGGATTTCTTGATTGGATGCGAGGAGACACGATAGAGGTAATATTAGGCGGAAGAGTGTAATTTGATTACTTTAGAGAACTAAATAAGGGGAAAAAATATCATAAGAATTGAACAATAGTCCACGTGCCCAAAACGGCGCGATAACGGTAAAAATGAAATGGCATAAACAGAAAACTTGGAAAAGAGGACAAAGAGTGGAAAACGCCAAAGCACCCAGAGCATTAAAAAAAAAAGGAAGCAAAAGTCATCAATCAAGCGGCGGCGGCAGCAGCAGCAGGGGCAGAGGCAACACCAGCTGCGACGGGCTGACTTTCAACGCCAATAGTAGCCTGCACGCCAACCCGTTCCTTGCCCAAAAGATCAGCAAGTAGAGGGCTTGGGCGGCTGTCCCTATGAGGTTGGAACACCGCCTGTGTGGCCTTGTACTTATGCACGCTCTCCAGGTAGATATCAAAAAGATAAGAGGAATCGAGCGGGCCTCCTTTTGCCTCCGGGTGGAATTGGGTGCTGAAGATAGGTCGGGTCTTGTGGATCAGGCCTAAAGACAACCAAGTTAATAAATACGACGTAAAAAGTTTAGGTGCAGAGAAAATATATGGATGTTACTAACCTTCGTTGCTAGAGTCGTTGAGGTTGATGAAGTAGGGCTTCCAGTCGCTTGGGAGCGTAGAAGCATCAACGGCATATCCGTGATTCTGGCTGGTAATATGACAGCGGCCCGTGGTCAAATCCAGAGCAGGGATGTTGTGGGCACGGTTGCCGTACTTCAGCTTGATTGTTCGAGCACCAGCGGCCAGGGCAATGAGCTGATGGCCAAGGCAAATACCCATTACTGGCACTTGGGACGTCTCCATCAATTTGCGGAGGTTGTAGACAGTATCCTGGCAGTGGGTTGGGTCGCCGGGTCCGTTGGAGACGAACACACCGTCGAAGTGGTGCGCAACTTTGTGGATAGGATAGTTGTGAGGGAAGACAGTGATGCTGGCTCCCCGGTTGACAAGACTTCTCAGGATATTCTCCTTAACGCCGCAGTCGATGACGGCGACGTGTGCGGTGCTATTTCCAGGGCTAACATGGAAGGGGGCCTTGGTGCTAACCTTTTGCACCAAGTTAATTTGCTCCGGGTCAACGAAGGCCTCGTCCTGATCAGCATCGTATTCCTCGCCAATTGTGATTCGGGCCAGGGAGGAACCCTGCTCACGAAGATAGGTGACAATTTCACGAGTGTCAACTCCAGAAATGGCGGGTACACCTTCCCTAGTGCACCATTCACCGAGACTCTCAACAGCGGTCCAGTGGCTGTAGCGCTCGGCAACATCGGCAACGACAACGCCAACAGCCTGGAGGCTGGGAGATTCAAAGTATTTAAGAAGGCCATTCTCGTCCCTTTCAGCAGACGGCACGCCGTAGTTGCCAATTAAAGGCTGGGTGAAGACCAAAATCTGGCCACGATAAGAAGGGTCACTCAAGGACTCCGGGTATCCTACGAGGGAAGTGGTGAAGACAGCTTCACCGGAGATGTTTGCCTTGGCACCAAACGACTTCCCGTGGAATACCGGACCATCTCTGATCGTGAATGTCGCCCTGTCATGAGCCGATGGGGTGACTTTCTTAGGTGGGGGAGCGGTCTGGAGAGGATCGGTTCGGCTGACAGTAGCCATGAATCGAGCATTAAAGGCCGGAGTCCTCAGAGCAGCGGTAGCATGAGCCCCCGCTGGGACTGATTTGATAATTCGTGCAAACATAATTGTTGATTTTTTCTTTTTGTCTCTACAGTTTTATAACTCAACTCTCAACTAGCGCGATGTATGACTCAATTTACCGAAGCTTTCCAGAGGTGATCTGGAACGGGGATTTGAGTTAGTTTAGGCGTCAATGGGATGGGATGGGATGGTAGAGTTCAAGCATTTTGGGCATACCAGATATGTAGTCCTAAATCACAAAAGTCAGTCAGAGATCACAGTCATGAGAAATGATGCTGGTTGGGGAGCCATTTTCCCCGACTCTGGGAGGCAGACATACCTGAGAAGTAAAGATTGAAGGAATTACACGCATAAGCGCTGTTGTGCTCGTCAAGCACTTAAATATACTATGTGTAGTGGGTACTGGGTACTCAGATGAGTGTGGAAGAAGGCATTGAGAGAACTGGCTGTGTGGGTGGTGCAATGTGTCGAGCGTCGTGATGGTGTAGAAAGGAAGCAAAAAAGACGGTGAATCCGGGAGGGGAGAAAAAGAACAGCGAAAAAAAGTTTTTGACTCAGGGCGGTGTCGGGCGGGCGCTGTTGGGCCAATGAGCCAATGAGAGCGTGGCGAAAGGCGTGTATCGTTGCCGTCCTGTACGGCCATTTCTCTGCACTAGTGGCGGTGGTATTGGCGTAACGGCATGTAATACGGTACTGTTTTTGAGCTTGAGAGCCGCCTTGGGATGTTCTATCCCTCGATCTATCCTGGACTATCCTGGACTACATACCTGGATCGAGATGGTGAACCCGCTATCAGAAGAGTTACCTATGACTCTCCCGTTCCTTACCATGGGATGAGACATCTATGAACGCTGAAGGCATGATATTTTAAGCTATCATCTACACGAGTATAGGCAGCTAAACTTCGCCATTCCCATAGATCTATGTGTATATATTATATATTGCCTCACTTCCGAAATACATTGGAAGCCCGCTGATGATATCCTATTACTAGTGGAGTTGCGCAAACGTGCCCAGCGGAAAGATAACTCTAGATTAGCCGGACATGAATCTGACACAGGAGTTTTCTCGGGAAGACTGCCCTGAGGTGCTGAAGAGAGAGTAACGGCATCGGGATGGATTTATTAGCACCCGCCACATGTCTAACGTTATACTAGATAATCATTTATGGGCAGCAAAACCCTTACTTGCAGGAACAGTATGCGGCTTCGTTGGAAAAAAAAAAGCGTTTCCCTTTCGCAAATGGTTGTTCTATGGTTTAGAGGTTTGTTAAACATATCGTCATTCTCCGAAGATTTACTTCTGCTGAAAGCATCTCCAGCCCTTTGTGAAATGCATTTACTAAACTAAATCGTTGATGTATTAAATATTCCGGATCATCCATTCAAAACGCTGTAGCCTGCGTGATGGTTGCAATGTGGAAAAATCTTCAAGATATATAGATATTTTTACTTGATAACGCTGGCAGTGTCTGAAAGCCCTCTCATTTTCCCTATTTCATAAGAAGAGCTCTTTATCCCCAATCCCGATCACAATGGTCTGTCAAACGCAGCGGGTAATCAGGCCAGACAGACAACCCGCCGCCTCCTTTCCCTCGCCCTAGTTCTCATCTCTCACACACCAGTAGCCCATAATCTACAATACACCACAATGTCAATTTTCGCATCACTCAACACCCCACACACTCCCATAAATTCAAAAAAAAATAAAAAAATAAAAAAAGCAGAGTTTAACCCTCACTATTGGTTTTTACATACCACATTCACCGGTCTCTCAAGCAAGGTACGCATTCCTCATCGCAGCAATCCTAACAGTTCGGGGCACCGGGGATGCTACATTGCCAGGCGCAGTCGTCATACGCATCCTTGTTATCACATGCGTTCACGACAGATGATTCAGTGAGGAAGAGAGCGATGAGTGAGGGTTTCATGTTTTTGTAAGTTAAGAAGGGATCTGTGGTTGGTGGTGGTGTCGAGTGGTATTTTGAAAGAGGCGGGCAATAAAAATTGAGGATGGATTTAAAGTGTTTTCTTCTTCTTCTTCTGTTTTTCTTTTTCTTTTTTCTTTTTCTTTTTTCTTTTTTTCTTTTTTTCTTTTTTTTTTCTTGTTCTGCTAATAATGTGGAGGGGATTCTGGTCTAGTTTTACTATATCAGGCTTGCTGAATGTGCTCTGACTTCTGTCTTGCTTTCTCAATGAGCGATCCCTTCATATTATCATGAAGCTCTGAATGGATGTGGTGCTCTCGATAAGCTTGTCCAAAACATTTGTTACATTTATGCACTGCGCAAGTCAAAAGATGATATGTTATGTCAGTATAGATACCTCTAAATTATCGTAAATTGAAGATATGAAAATAGCACATGCAAGGCCCAAATGTTACATATAATTCGACCCGTTTCCAGGCACCGAAACTATGAAGATTCGTAAGATCTACAAGTAGGGGAGAGAGGGAATCGAGCTGATTAGATCAGACTAGAGCCGATGAGCGTCTCTTGCTCAGCTATTCTCTAATGCTATATGGCTGTGCTTTGCAATTTGTACTTTTTTTTTGTTTTCTTTTATTCTTTTTTATTCTTTGTTCTTTCTTTGTTGTCCAGCAGCGGGAGTTCGTAATTATTCTAGGAATTGACCTTCAAGGAGTGATAGCTTATATGTTACATCTTTTCATTGATGAACAAAGAAGAGCAACAAGCCAAGATGTGTCAAGTGAGAGTATGATCAAGTTGGTAAATACTTGACATCGTGCGTTTGCTGGATTTCATCCCTAATCTTTGTGTTTGGATTTGCCTACAATTTGGTGAAAGGCTAACCGGAAGAGGACCTCGCGAAGGGTGAGTGAGTTCTTCATTCGCGGGGGTTCTAGTCCGCTTTGCCCAGGATGCGGTTACCTAATTGAAGCGACAGACCAGGGTTGTCGTGTTGGCCTGCTATTATGTGTGGAAATTCCGCAGTGAGGACGCAGTGAAATGTAAGTCTTTGCCTTTGATTGCTAGATGAGTAGTCTCAAACATTGGAAAGAAAAAACCCCTAGACTGCGAGCGAATCCTAAGGGACCGCTCGAATTTTTCGGTGCTCTGATTCAACATGGTCGTTAGGTTCTCATCCCCGCAGAAGAAGCCAATCAATGCCCGGTACAGATTTTAGGGTTTCTGAGCTAGCCCAAATAGGACTGTTAAGCGAGAATGCCAAGCGCCGGTCCCAAAGCTTATTTTGACATCGATTAAAAGACCAGGCGTAGCTTTTCTGCTGATTCATTCATGTCTGTTTTACAGCTTGTATAAAACTACATAATACCTTGGGTGTAGATTAGCCTAACACCAAAGGTTCAATAATAATCCACTTGAGAAATCCTACCAATTCTCTGTTTGCTCCACTTTTCCTGTCCATTATATATTGCAGGACAGATGACCCCTGATCTTGATCCCCTGACACTCAGCAAAAGCACTTGGTTTTAAAAATCGATTTCAAGCAGATCACTGCTGCCATCAAGTGCTGATTGTTTTTCTCTCTGCATAACTTTTTCTTGATCTAATCATCCGACAGCTGGATGTTTTTATCAAAACAGAGCAAGGCTTTTGCTCCGAGGATTCCTTTTTGCTTCTTCTGGCGTTGGGATAAGCCATTCTGTCAATTTTTTTATCAATGAGTGTATACTCATCGTTTAATATTCTCAGCACTCTCAATCAATGAAAAGCTAGCTGAAAAAAATGTTTGGTACACGCCTACATATACCACCTTTTTCTGAGATTGTAGGCAAACGTTAAATAGTTGATCTTACATGGAAATATTTCTCCCACAGCTTTTGATAAGGAAACTCTTGATGGAATTACTCAAACATAATGCTTGAGCCTTAACCTAGGGGCAGAGTGGATGTTTCATTTCATTTGCACTGGCATGGTTTATGTCTCCATGTGGTGTTCACAAAAATATGAGCAAGGTTCTACAATCAAATACCCATTCAGTACCGCATTTATCTATATACCCTGAACTTAAACAATGAATGTAACGGCGCGAAAGATATTCACACCTCACATCACTCACCTTCTTCATCCAGCTTCTTCGCAGCATTTCTCTGGGCTACAGCCAGCTGTACTCTTCGTTCACTTACCTCCACCAAGGTAAATAAATAAATAATACGTCACTCGAAGCCCAATGAGCTTGCTCAAGGCGAAATTTCGCGTTAGCGCTGTCTATTCCTTAGGTAGAGGGGTAGAAATAGCCCTCCTCAGCCCCTGTGGGACAGACTAACCTTCCAGCACTTGATTTCTGTTGCATTAAGTACCTCTAGATACCTAGGGAACTAACCAATGCAACAATCAATTCGCTCCCCCCCCTTTCTCTCTTCCTCTCAGTAAATACCTAGTGACAAGTGCTTATGTGTTTTCCATGAGCTATCCTAGCTCATCCTGTCCCATCCCATCCTTCACATCATTTCTTTACTATTCCATGCTCCATGTTAACTAACAGCTAGGCTTATGATATGATTACACAGCACTTTCTACTCTTTGATTTCCCCTCTCCCCTCGCCGTTTGCCATGTAGGGGATTCGGCACTACGGGGAAAAAAAAAAAAAAAAAAAAAAAAAGAGGCTTTTCTTTGACCCCCTAAACAAATATGAGATATCTAGATATGATACAGTCATCACAATTCCATTCCCACCATTCCCCTCTGCCCTCTGCTCGTTGAAAGGAACGCCGAAGAAGAAAAAGGGAGGGCAGCTGTTTCATAATAATACACACTTTTTGATAATTATTATATAGAGTGATGTGATCCCGCGCTTTTGCGAATGTTCAGTCAGCTGTTTACAACTATATTAAATACCTACTACGCTCCTCCCAACATAGTCCCCGAATCCCACATACCATACATACATACATACATACATACATACATAACCTTCATTGAACACGATGCGAGTTTAGGGGTTGGTTCTGTACCACTTCCATCATCATTGCCCGGCAAGAGAGCCTTTTGCCGTTGGGATCATCCCCGCAAGGGAAGTATCAGCCTGGGAGGGGAAATTTTTAAGAGGAGGAAGATTGAAGATTGCGATATGATTTAGCCAGTAACAACAGCCACTTATGTATTTGTGGGGTAATTATGTGGATATACAACCGATCCAGGAATATCAAGAGAGGACCCAAAAAAAAAAAAAAAAATGAGAAAAATGATAACCACTCTGCACTATATAATGTATACAAATCCATACAACATACATAGGAGGGAAAAGTACCACTCACACCACCCCCTCACTCACACAGGCCCCACCACCACCACTCCTACCTCCCCTACCCCCCCTCCCCTCCGCCAACCGCTTCGTAACAACCGCCGCCCCAATCGTCGCTAGCCCCCCAAACCTCAACACCCAGCCCACAGAATCATCCGCCGGCTCCCCGCGCGGCTTCTGCAGCGCGCTGAAGATAAGACTGCTCACCAGCGTCGAGAAGATCTGCGGGCAGGAGACGGCCACGTTGTGGATGCCGAGGATCACGCCCGCTTGGTCGGTTGTGTCGTTTTCGTCATCGTCGTCCTCGTCGTCGATGATAGCGTCCTCGTCATCCTCAACGCCGCGATCAGAGCTCCCGGCGTCGTCTTTGTCGTCGTTGCTATTGTCCGTGGTGTTAACGGGACCCGGCGTGGACGTTGATGCAGTGGGCTGACGGGCCAGACTGGAGGCTCCACCAACCCCGCTGTCCACCTCCTCCATGCCCTCTCTACTATTTTCCCCACTGGAACCTCCAGCCGCCCGATGTTCCCTGGGCTCCGCTAAAAACCCCCGATATTCGCTACTACCAGGACTCGCACGATGCAACCGATACTTCCGCCTCCGTTTCTTCGCATCACTCCTCGCCACCTCAGCCGATATAAGCGCAAACGGCGCCCAAAGCGTCAGCGCCCAGGGAATGCCAACGATAGATACGACAACCGTCCCGGCCTGCGGCGTGCTGATGAAAAACGTGCTGAACATACACAGGCTGAAGAGGATGTGGGACATGAGCCAGGCACGCCGGAGGGTGAAGCCCGGTATCTGCAGGCGGGAGAGGAGGGAGGGAGTTTCTCTATCCGTTCCTCCTTCGAGCGGTTCGCTGAGTTGTGGAGGGGGAGGTGGTGGTGGTTGGGGAATCGCCGCTACGGATGAGGCGGTGATGGACATAGTTGACGTAGATTCTCTGCGCGTACGATACGGGTGCGGCCGGGCGGCTGGGGCCACAGCAGTTTTCCGCGATGGCAAACTTGGTCGATAGGTCGGTACGACAAGGAGCGGCAGTATAATGCTCGCCGCGAACGATATGATCGCGTAGACCAGTAGTGCAAAGGTACCCACCCGCGTAGCCGTCACCCAGGCCTCGTCGATATCCTCAGGCGACAAGTGGGGGTGTTCCTCAAATATAGGATTGACATACAACTGGCCAATATACGTGGTGATATAAAACAGAAACGGGAACCAGCCGATCCACGCGAAGAGCTGGATCTCGCAGACCTTGCGGATCTGCGGCGGCAGGTTGCGAATGGATTGGAAAACCTGCTTGAAGAACGCGACGACGCCAGGGTTATCTGACGATGGTGGCCCTTCCAGGCGCGGATCACGTTCCGTGATGTAGAGGCAGCTAATCAAAAGCGTGATGCCCAGCGACAGCGATGCAATCACACAGAGGACTTGGAATTGCGTCTTTCCAAAAAACGGGAGTATTTTAGGCAGGTCGAGGTAGCCAGAGATATATCCCAGGATATTGCCAATGCCAGTGAGCCGACTTGCCCATGCATTTGCGGATTCCTGCTGATGCGCCGGTGCATTGTCGACTATGAAAGCTCGGATAGCCGCTTGCACTAAAAAAAAAGCCCCAAGCCAATGTAAGCACGAGACCTTTAACAGTCATGTCCAACGAAAAAGGGAGGGGTGGAGAAACAGAAACTCACCCGTATTAATAGCAAAATCAAGACAATACATCAAAATCGTCGCCACGACTATTGAGGTTACTTTGACCCCCGTGGAGCGGAAGGGAACTCCAAATATGCCCAAGACGCCGCCCACGATCTCACGAGTCCACGCAAGCGCGAGTAGGGATATGATCGTCGCAATCCCGCCCCCGATCATAAACGGCTTTCGTTTCCCCCATGATATTCTGCAGTTATCGCTGCGGATGCCGACGTATGGTTGGACAAGGGTTCCTGTTAAGGGGCCTGCTATCCACACGAATGCCAGGAGGGACTTATCCATCCCAAGTGAGAGTAAGTAGGGCTGTAGACAAAAAATATTAGCTTCTTCGTATCCACGGGGGGAAATATCAGGCAAAAAATTCCCATGCACATACAGATCCACTAGACAACTCCACAGACCAAACAATTTGTAAACTACATCATCAACACCAAAAGTTAGCAATCAATCAATCAATCAACCCAAACCGCAAATAACAAATAAGCAAAACGTCAAAAAAAAAAAAAAAAAAAAAAAAAAAAAAAAAAAGAGCAAAATCTTACCCCCCAATACTCAACGTAAGCAAAAAGAGATACAAGCTACTCTTCGACACAGCATCCTTGCAAACTTCCTTCGCGAAATCATCATCATCATCTGCTGCTGCTGCTGCTGCCGCCGCATCACCACCACCGAACAACCCTCCGGAATCATCGGCAATGGCATTGTGTCCCGACGACGCCTGCTCACCCGCACCAAGGAGTGGAGACCGATCCGACTCTCTATCCGGCAATGACGAGCTCATAAGAGGAGGTATGTATATAAAGGGGAGAAAAGACGCTGCGCGAGGGTGTATTCTTTTTCTGCTTCTTCCTTTCTATATCTGCTTTTCCGTGGATGACGCTTGTCGGGTATCATGTACAGTACATCTCCCTTCCTCTCTCTCTCTCTCCTTCCTTTCGTTTCCGCAGCAAAAAAGCCGGGCCGTTCCCCTAGCGGGCCGTGGTATGATATGGATGTATGTATCTACCTCCCCAACACAGTCGAACGTGCACAAAACTATCGTCTCTCCTTTCTTTCTTTCCGCGGGGAGTTTGATTTTGCACCCCTTCGCCCTCTCCGTGCGTTTCTCAGAGAACAGGGGGTGGGTGGTAAGTTAAGAAGTGCGTTTGGTGATCTTTGCCGGGCACAGTACCGTATTTATCTCTATCAGCAGTCGGAAAAAACGGGCAATAAACGGCTCGTGTCCAAGAGGGTAAAAAGAAAAAGAAAGCAAACAAAGCGTAAAGTACAATAAACGTCGGGTAAAATAAATATATATATGTTAATGTTATTCCCTCCCCAGCTCACATCAACCCGTCGTTTTCCCTCGTCCTTGTTGTTGAATCCGCCAGACAAGACCAGACTTACGTAGTAACGTAATAAATAGCTAAGTTCAGTTAGCTAGTTTGCGGGCCACATCACATTCTCCTCCCGCAGCTCCTTTTCCTTCGCCGATAAGAACTCCTAACTAAAATCCTAGCATGCGATGCGATGCGATGTGATGTGATGTGATGTTGGGAAATGAGGGAGGTATATGCGGGAGGGTAAGTTGGAAGAAGAAGGGCAACAGTTAAGCCGGCCAAGTTCAGGCCTGGTCTGTTCTTTCCGGAATAGGAAAGGTCGCTACCAACCTTGGAGCTGTGTAACGACCTCATGTATCGCCGCCTCCGGAAACTCTAAATATCGCAGACACAAGCTTCGTCGTCTGATTCTCCACATGAAACGTTGTCATGGGCAGGCGTGGAAACTTGGAAGCAACAAAAGATTAAAGGAAGACATAATTCATTCAATCACTCTTCAAGAGCTGCAGTTTATTGCATGTATAGAAAAATTAATTGAAAGAAATCAAATGAAGTATGTTATACTTACTTCAAATAAAAATCACAAAAACCAAAGAAATATAAAAGAAGGATAGAGTGTCAAAGAGCATCTAGCAAAATAATAAGTCAAGAGAATCTGTTTCAGAAGAAAAAAAAAAAAAAAAAAAACTAGAAAGAAAAGGAAAGGAGAGAGACAGAGAATTAAGAAAATCAATTATAATATAAAGTATATAATAAGTATCATAGTAGGTAGCAGCAGTAGCAAATAGCACATAAATAGGAACAGAGACAAAAAAAGCTCATAATCATAGGCAAAAAGAGAAACATTGGAATAGCAAAAATATAAGAAAAGTCAGATAAGAAAGTAGTAAGAAATATTCAGCAGATGAGTGTAGATGTGAAGATGTGTAGACATGTACCAGTGCAGATGTCCATGTGTTTCAAAAGAGTATCAAATCGGCTCTGAATAATGTCTCTTTGTGTACGCATCAACCAACAACCAGTCAATCAGTCCACAACCTGGGGCTTGTGGGGAGGAGGACGGTAACGAGGGAACTTCTTGTATAGTATGAAAACAAACCCAAAAAATATCTTCCATTCTTCCGAACGAGAGAAACGGAGACAAGACGCAGACCGGGGGGGGGGGGAGTGACAAGGAAAGCCATGTATATATATGTATGTGTGGGGGTATATATAAAAGGGTCATAAACTAGAAACGCGCAAAAACCAATAAACCAAAACCAAAAAAAAATGGCAACAGGAATAGATAGATATATCGGATAAGATAGATGGGGAGGAGCTTGAAGGATTATTCGAAGGGGCGCGGAAGGAAATATATAGATAGGAAGGAGAGACATAAATCAGCAGTGATAACTAGCATAAAACCCGATTCCCTTTCTATAACAGAGCAAAGCATAACCACACAAAGGAAAAGAAAAAGGAAAGAAAGAAAGAAAGGAAAATCCAAGATCAAAAAATATCCATACCAAAATTCATATCCAAAAAGGAGCCAACACCACCTTTCCAAAACCACCATGTCCCGCGATGGGGAGGAGGAAGGAATGGAATCCTCAAAGGAGAAAGAGCAAAAGAGCAGAGTAGCGGAAAGCAAAGCCAAAGCAACGCAACGCAAAAGGGCAAAAACGCAAAGACGTATAAACCCCCAGCAGCCAACCCAGCCCAGCCCAACCAGCAAGCCCTCTTCTAGATATGTTGCTGCAGGAGGTGAGGCGTTATCATCTGCGGCGTGACCATTGTTGGTAAACTAGTTTGCATCACCATAGATGACGGCATGGAAGTTACGTTGGCCATGTTGACCATGCTGGTCGGCATGTAATTATTATTATTGCCGTTGTTTTTGGTGTTATTGTTGTTGCTACCGTTGTTATTATTATTGCTGCTACTATGGTGGTGGTGGTCGGTGTTATTAGTGTTTCTGTTCCTGTTAGTGTGGCTGTTGCTGTGGTTATGGCTGTGGCTGTTCGGGTCTGAAGACGATCGAGGCGACTCAGTATCTCCCAGCGATCCGAATTCCTGTTCCTCGTGTTCTTGTTCGCGATCCTCGTCCGAGTAGTTGTTCACTATCTGCTGCCCGCTCTGCTGTGTTTCATGGGTACGGCGGTGTCTGCAATGGCCGCAACAAGGGTAGTTAGTTAGCGGGGTAGCTCCAGAAGGCACGGTACTATTTTTAGCCAGTCTGGCAGAGAAAGAAAAGAAAAAGAAAAAGAAAAAGAAACAGGTGAAACATACTGGGCAAGATTGTCCGACCGTGAAAAGGCCCTATTGCAGTAAGGGCACGGATAGGGGCGTTCTTGCGTGTGGGTCCTCACGTGTCTAGGCGCCCAGTCAGTCAGTGAAAAAAGCCCAGCGGTTAGAACAAGTTTTAAAGCCCGCAAACATTTGAACCAAACAGAATGCTCCAAATCAAATCCTGCGCGATGCAAAATATTCAAAAATAGCAGCACATACCGTTTCAGATGTTCTAGTCTCTTAAACAACCTGCCACATGACGGGATGGGGCAGGAATGTGATTTCTGAGGATAAGGGCCAAGCTCCATCATTGTCGCACTGCGGGCGCGACGGACGGGACCAGGCCGATCGCCCTTGCCATTGGCTGAGCTCGCGGCAATAGCATTGTCGATTTGGTCACCATTGGGTAACGATGACAACTCATCGTGGGCCTGGATCAGGGATAGAGGGTGCTCGGGGGGACTTTCCTCTAGACTTGGCAGCGGAGTGCCCGTTCGAGATAGTTCGTGCAGCAGATCCTTTTGGTTCACGACCGTAGATGTGTAACTATTGGTTAAACCTGGAGGCGAGTCGTTGTTTGATTCCTCCCCTTCCATAACCGCCGGGACAGACCTGGACATGGAACGGCGAAGCTCACTTGGTCGTGTCACGGAATGGGCATGGGCGTGGGCGTGGGCGTGGGCGTGGGCGTGAGAATGGCCGTGCGACTGAGTAGATTGCCCAGCAGCCGCTGCAATGGCATGGGTGATGCTGGCAGGGATCGACGATCGTCGTCTCCGTTGTTTGTAGGTTGGAGATCCTTCAATGACTGAATATACATTGGTAGTTGGGAATGTGCGAGTTGCGGTAGAAAACTGTGGACCCACAAGATTGGAAGGAGGAAGTTGCATCATTGGAGCGAAGCCTGTCGGGTTCCCAATATCGGGGATGGCGGTATACAAGCCAGTGTCCTCATTGGCAATGTAAGCAGGCTCCTGGCCAAGATGTAGCGAGTGTTGTGGAGGTGTAATTGGTTCAAAGGATATCCCTCTTGCACCATACTCGTCATAGTGCGATGAAACGAACGATGGGGCCGGCGAGTACTCCATAAACGTCGGCATGGATGTATGGCGCTGGTGGATTCTGGAGACAGGGGTGCCGTTTCGATCGTAGCTAAACTGTCCCAGATCCTGTTCGGGTTTGCTCATACCGTTGGTCAACGAGTTATTGGGCATTCCCATGGAATTGTACAAACCCTGGTTGCTGGTGTCCTCTTGAAGAACTGGCATCGATTGGGGTAGTTGCGGTGGTGGCATAGAATCAGTGGCTCTCCCCATAGGGGAGGTAGAGTGAGTGTAGGCCGTGCTGGCGTGGGCAGAGAAAGAAGACGAATTTGCTTGTTGCGCCTTTGTGAGTTGCTCAAAGAGAGACTGTGAGGAATCGAATTCGAACGACAAGGCAGGTTCATTGACTGCCACCGTAGTTGCTTCCTGACCCATCTTTTCCCGCTTCAAATCCCGCTCCAAGGCATCGAGGAAGAGCCGATCGTGAGGTACACTATACCAGTAGAAGACCTTCTGCTTTTTCTGCGTTCGAATACAGTTATTTTTATATAGGAAGTCCAAAAAGGCGCTCTTTGGCTCCTCGAGGGACGCATCGGTGCCGGACTTCAGGTTGCGAAGATCAGAGAAGATGCCCTCTTCGAACTTCTTGGTGTTTTTAACTGGACGGCCAAAGGCCTGGAATCGAAAGGATAAGCATCGCACGATGTCGGTTCCCGAAATATGGAAAAGGTTATTCCTGCGATCGTTCTGTTAGACTCGACTGACCTTCTCCTTCCCCCGCCTCAAACCCTAGTCGTATCACGGGCAAAAAGACATACCATAAAACACACGAAACATAGTCGCCTGTTGGGAGTAAGAATCGTCTGATGAGTTGATCTGGAGCCCAATCGACCGGCGCGGATATAAGGAAGTATTTTACTATAGCCATGAATTAGGGACGGTGGTTTTTTTTTTAGGTGACCATGGCTCTAACGCGCAAGGACAGGGATGGATAATCCGAACGACGTGGCGGTTCAAGGACTTAAATATCGAGCCGACACAAGAAAATGGCGAAAAGGCAGAGAGTAGACTCACAATTATCGACTTGCTGTAGGGCAACCTGTGCATCTCGGGGGAGACTTTGTTGAGCCTCGTTGGAAAGCATGAAGGTTTCTGGCTTTTGCGGTGGTGCCATCGAAGCACCATGCTGCGAATACATGGCCATTTTGCAGATCGAACCTATCTCTTAAAACGCGGAGGGGTTAGTCATATTGCAACGAGAATGCAGTTTTTAAGAAGATAAATGCCAAGATAGAAAAATGCAATGGGAACGAAATTTCGCATCCGCAGGGCTGTGTCTCTCTTCGGGGACAGGTGCAGTAGAAGGGGTGCGAGCGAGAGAGCGCGAGAGAGCGCGAGAGATAGAGAGAGAGGGGGAAACTAACCGTCTAGGAGACAGTGAAAAACCACACGGAACAACGACGCAATGGGCACCAGCCACGCGAGAGAAGAAAAATGAAAAAGCGAGAAGAGAAACGAATGTTAAAAGGGTTGGAAAAATGGGAGGAGAGATTCCCAGATGGCGGTTGTTGTTGGTGGTGGTGGAGGTGATGTTGTTGTGCGAGGAGCCAGCCTCACTCCGACACTGCCGCGAATCCTGTCGAGAAAAGCAACGAAGAAGAGAGCTGAGAGTCCGGGCCTGCCCTGATCGAACGCTTCTCTATCTCTACTTGCTTCTTTTTATATTTTTTTTAATATCTATTTTTTGGTCGATAAAAAAAGGTGTACTTGGCGCGCTCGACGGGGTTGACAGGGGGTGTTGGTGTGATCGAAACGAAGGTAAAAAATAATAATGTGTGATGTTTGGTTTTAAAAAGACATGAAAAAATTAGAAGAAGAAAAGAAGAAGAAAATGGAGAAAAAAAGAAGGCACAAGAGAACGGGATGACGGGAGAAAAAGAGAGAGAAAAAAAAAAAAAGAGAGAGAGAGAGAGAGAGAGAGAGAGAGAGAAGAGGAGGACGGCGGGAGGGGAGGAAGGTGGATAATAATAATAATAATAATAATAATAATAATAATAATAATAATAACAATAATTATGAGAATACTACGGAGTACTTTTGCAGACAGAGCGAGCGCTGTGACGGCGGCAGACGGGATATTATTATTATGGGAGGTGGGAGGGGAGGTGGGATATGGGGGGGCGCCGGCAGATAAGGGGAAAAAGAAAGGGCGGCCACGGGCAAGCAGGAAGAAGTAGTAGAAGAAGTAGAAGAAGTAGAAGAAGTAGAAGAAGAAGAAGAAGAGAAGAAGAAGAGGACGGGGGTTGGGTTGCCGCCGGGGACTGAGGGATGGGATGAGGGAATCTTTTGGACA